GAGATAGGGTCTTGCTATGTAGTTCCAGCTGGCCTTGAACTTGCAGTATCTTCCTGCCTTAGCCTCTTGAGCCATCTTTTTGCCTCAGCTGGGATTTCCAGTTTGTGTCATGATACCTAGCCAACAGTGCCACTCTTTGATGGAGGTCTAGAGACCTGGGGATTTGCTGACAGCCATGCAGGAGGTGAGACCAGAGCACTTGGTTTTGTCGGGTTCTAAGGCCAGGCTCTGTCCAAGGTACTCAACTGTCTGACCCTGCCAGAACCCCCGCAGAGCATGGTGACCCTCACAGTTCCCAACTCTGCCACTATTTATGGTTCCTACTGCCAAAGGACACCCAAGGTTTGGTGAGCACCCTGTCTGATCCCAGTCTCAGCTCCAGCTCCTCTCCCACTCCAGCCCCTCCAGTCTTCCTCCCCATGCTCACCACTACCACAGATTGTCCTCAGACTTGCAGACTTTACTACGTGACTTCTTCAGAGCTCTTCACCAGGGCCTGGGGGTCCGGCCTCATTGACCCTACCATTTCCTTGAGCTCTGCACCTTGCTGAGCTGCTTCTGCACAGCTCTCTCTGACTCTTCTGAGAGCTCTCCCCTTTCCCCCTCACCCCTGTCACACCCTCCTTCACCACTTGGTTCCCATCACTTCCTCCAAGAAGTCTTCCCTGCTTGTCTCAGCGCCTCTTTCTTTGTGTGCATCTATTTAGGTCCTTCTCTCTGACTGAGTTCAGGAGGGCAGGGCTGGGTCTGTGTTGTTCACACTGCATCCCCAGAGCCTGGCTCTATGTCTGCACTGTGGGCAGCGCTCAGAGAAAAGCTGCTGAATAAGTAAACAAATGCACAAGCACTCTGCCATCATCGTCACAGTCACCGTGATCATCACATTTAGCATCAAGCTCTTCTTGTACGTAGTAAGCTTCCAAACATAACCACTGAAGAGCCAATAGAGGCTCAAGTACCCCTTCTAGCCCCATCTGCACGCCTCTCTGCAGCCTCCACCAGCTGCAGCATTCTCCTGCAGAGGAAAATGCATCTAGATACTTGCTTGACTGCCATGGTTCCCACTAGGAGGAAACAGATTGCTCCTTCAGCACCAGGGCCTTTAAGTGAGTCAGGCCATTCCTGCTGGTGCAGGGAGGAGGGAGCACTGAGGCCTCAGCTTTGTTTCAGACTGGCCTCAATTGGCCCTGAAGTGACTAATAGAGTGTGAAATTGACTTCATCCTCCACCACGCCATCCCAGCCAGCGTGTCCCTGTAGCATCTCCCTTGCTACAGTGGGTGCAGTGGTACCGCCATCCCCTCCGTCACTGGCAGACAGGAGCGTCATCAACGCCCACGCAGCCCCAGGGCCCAGCAGCTCTGCAGAGCCCATGACAGTATCTGGCCAGGAGCCAGGTGAAGCTGTGGACGCCAGAAGCCAGAAGACACTGTGCGTGTCTGATGCACCTTAGTCCAAGCTGGCCACCGGCTGCTCCTGTCCCATTTTACTCCTCTGGCACTGGCTTCTGAGGCAGGAAGGACTACAGGGAGTAAGGCATTGGGTAACTTGGTGACCCTCACCCCTGACCGCTATACCCCCTAGGGTGAAGAATCAAGGGTCAAAGGGGCTTCCCAGAGGTTTGTAAAAGGGTGGTTCTTTGGGTGCCTTGGGGGCTGCTTGGGAGACTATGGGAAGCTCCCAGCTCCTCTTTCTACTGGGACAAAGCCATTTTGGGTGTATTTTTTTTCTTCTCTTCTGTTTAGGATTTCCTAGGAGGAAAGAGATTCCATACATCCCTAAAGGCCCATGATGTATCCAGTGGTCATTCCCAGTCTTGCCTCTGAATCAGAATTAACTCTGTGATGGCATTAGATGCAGATTCCAAGCCTTGTAACACTTTTCTCTGCCCACATTTCTTCCTCCTCTGGGGAGCACCCCATGTTCCCCTAGGAAGCCACCCCTGCCCCATGTACCACCCCATGTGGTTTGGAGGGGAGCCTCATTTGATTCCTTGAAATTCCAAGGTCAACTCCTAGGCCTGGTCAATCCCAGGTGGAGTGAATCATCCAGGGCCATAACTAGGCTGGAGTGCGGCCCCAGGATTTGTCAGAGCCAGAGAGGGAGAGAAGCTCTTTTCTCTTAGAGGCCCTAGGCTGATGGCTGTCAGCCTGGAACTGCTGGCTGAGGAGGAAGCCAAGACAGAAGCAAATCAGGACAAGGGGTGGGGAAGGGATGAGGAAGAGAAAGAGAAACAGAGACCCAGAGAGTTGGAGGCAGGCAGACAACTCGGCAAGACCCAGCCTCAAAATAAAAAACAAAAGGGGGCCTGGGGATGTAGCTCAGTGGAAAGTTGCTTGCCTAGCACATGTGAAACCCAGTATTGCTAAAAACAAAACAAGACAAAATCCCATCTCAGATCTATTGAATCTTGATCTCTATTGATGGAGTCTGAATCTATGTTTCTTAAAAACTTGCCCCCGAAATTCTGGTGAAATTTCACTACAGGTTGAGACTCAGTAAACTTATTAGTACAAGGCTTTTCAAGAAGGAAGAAAGAGAATGGGGGGTGGTGGTACATATTTGCAATCCCAGAACTCTGGGAATCTGAGATAGGAGGATCATAAGTTCGAATCCAACCTGGGCAACTTAGTGAGATCTTGCATCAGAAATAGATATGAAAAAGCGCTGAGGGTGTAGCTTAGTGCAGAGGCCTTGGGTTCAATCCTCAGTGCTGGGGTAAAAGGTCTAAAGTTGTTGGATGGCATCTGCCACACGACTCCTCTCTAACTGCCTGGGTTTCTGCTATGCCGGAACCTAGAGTGCCCGGCAAAAACCCCAGTGCTGAAGGCGTGGGCCCCAGCACGGTGCCCTTGGGAGAGGGCAGGACCTTTGGAAGGAGGGACCTAGGGAGTGCTTAGGTCACTGGGTGGGTTTTTGAGGTGGATGAGGGATCTTGGCCCCTTCCTCTTCCTCTCACTCAATTCTCAGCCATGAGGTGTGGGCTTGGCTGCATCCCGTGCTCCTGCCATGATGGCGCAATGCGGTGTGGCCGAGGGAATTCAGACTGAAAACCCCTGCAACTGTGAGCTAAAGTAACCCGTTAGTTTTTATAAGCTGATGATCTCAGGTATTCATCAGTGTGACAATGCTAATGTAGCCTCCCTTTTTCATTTTATTCCCAGGTTCCAGCTCTTTTTTTTTTTTTTTTTAACTTTTTATCGGTACCAGGGATCGAACTCATGACCACCTGTTTGCAAGGCAGGTGCTTATGCCGCTGAACTAAATCCCCAGCCCGGTTCCAGCTCTTTTCACTACGGATGGTCCTTGAACTAAGGTCAACCCTCAAGTTCAAGTGCCGCCCACAGATCTTTGTGCCTCCTTCCGGTCCTCTCCCACGACCTGTGAGGCACCTGAAGAAGTGCAGGAGCTGCCCCCTGACATCACTGGGTTCTCCTCGCTTCCTTTTGGGTTGGCACCTGCTCACCAGCTGCTGAAAGGACGCAGCCACCCTGGGTGCTGGGCACGTGCTATTGCCTGCTGATCTCATTTCCCTGTTTCTAATTACAGAATCCATTCTTTCTGTCGGGGACTCACCCTGCCCCACTCTCAAGTCATGTAATGCAAGCAACCAAGGCCCAAAGGGACTCCCAAGCCCTACGGTGTCTCCTCCCTGCATCCTGTGGTATGTGATTTAAGCGTCTGTTCAGTCCCTCTGTGCAGCATCTCTTCCCCAGGATTTGGTGATAGACAGTAACTCCGGGTGGTTTCAGGAAAATCACTTCCTGGGCCTTGGAGGAAACTTACATTTCCATCAGCCACAAGAGCTGAGCCTGGAGCTTTTCACAACCATTTCACAATTTCCTGGGGGAAGGCTGGTCTAAGAATGAAGGTAATTCAAGAAACAGATCCTATGTTACTGGATCCATCTGGGCCGGATGCCAAACCCTATATATTTCAGTCACATGAGTTGTAAGTCCCTTTCCTGGGCAAGCCAGTCTGAGTGGGCATTCTGTCCTTTGTAATCAAAAGGCAGTAGTATAACATGCATTTTGGCCTATGCTCCCCTTTTGCTGTGACACAGATATGTGACGGGGAGTAATTAATAGGAACATTAGGAAATTAGGCTGAAATCTCATGTTTGGGAGTTAGGGAGGATGGGCCACCCATTCTCTGAGATCACTGAACGGTGCAGAATCTCTGGAGGCCTGGTGACCCCAGGAGTTGCCAAACAGGCTAAACTTTGCCTTGAGGGATCAGGTTAATGTTTTTGTAGCTGCTGATAAAGTAGAATTCTTGCTCTGGGCAGGCCTCAGCCTCTGGCTGAAAGGACCCAGCCACCCTGTGTGGCCAGCTCATCTCAATTCTCTGCTTCTAATTACAGAATCCACAGTTTCCTCTAGCGACTCACCCTTCTCTGCTCTCAAGCCACAGCCAGGGGAGAGTAGGGCGAGTCCTGCCTCACTGAGAATATCTGGAAGATAGGAGGGACTTGCAGATGTGAGGGCGATCTGGCTGTTGGTCGCCGGCGTTGATTCAGCTGATCTGGCTGGCCTGGTAGGTGTCCTCTTCCTCCCATGCTGCTCCATGTGTGTCCCTCCCAAAGCTATGTGTGTGGTCAAAGAGGATGACCACCCCTGAGAGAGGACCATTCCTGCATCAAAGGTGTACAAATAGTTGCTGGACCTCCAAACCAGCTCTCAAGGAGCTGCTTGCCCTTGTTAACTGCTCCTGAGGTTCAGGGTGGCAAGATTGGGGAGAAACGCAGTGCAGCCTCTGTGTGCAAGGCCTGCTTCTATTAATGCAGCCTGAGGTTGCCTTCAGTCTGGTGCCACCACACTACACTTTGCATCAAATGGGAGTCGCATGTGTTGCTTCTAAATCGTGTCTCTCTGGCCATCTCAAGCCTTCTCATCCTGCTCGCATCTTGGAAGATGCATTTTGTCCTGTAACTTTTTTCAGGACTCCACGAATCAAAAATGTTTTTGGAGAGATGATGTAGCCAAGGAAAAGACAAGAAACTAGCTTTCTTTCTTTTTATTCTTCAATAGTGGCAGAACAAAACACAAAGCAAACCACATACTGACATGCTGATTTACCCTCTAAATCATCTCCTGGTATGGTCAGTACATTTGTTCCTAAAAGATCCTCTTGGTTTTGTTTTATTTTAAGACAAGGTCTCACTATGTAGTTCAGGCTGGCCTTGAACTCACTCTATAGTCCACCGTGGCCGGCAACTCTCCCAACTGCTGAGATTACAGACATGCACCAAGGACCCTCCTGGAATAAGATCTCCATCCACATTACTTCTCTCCACCTGCATGTCCTCCCTCCCCTAGGACACTCCTCCATCTTTACCTGGGAGTCTCCTTCCCAGTGTCTGACCAAGAGCAAAGTGGCCCAGCACAATACCAGGGACCACCGCACCTTACTTCCTTTTTCTTTTTTTTTTTTTTATCGGTACCTGGGATCGAACTCACACCTGCCTGCTTGCAAGGCAGGCGTTTATGCTGCTGAGCTAAATCCCCAGCCCCTACTTCCTTTTTATTTTAAAGGGAGTAAAATTAAACACAACAAAATAGGACATAAGAAAGCAATGTAAGAGATATAAATTTCAAAGCTAGACAACCTGACATCGTCACTATCTGTCATATTGTCTCTTGTTTTCTTCCAAATAGTTGTCCGTGTCTTTGCATACAGAGAGTTCATACAAAACAACATAGTATAAAACTGATCTGAACAGAATGAGGAAGGCATTTTAGGTCTTCAATAGGGAATAGGGAATAGGTCTTCAGTAGACAATAGGGAAGTTACTAATGGCTGTCGTAAGGTCTCTGGTTCTCTTCAAAATAGCTGTCCATACTTTCATGTATATTGAAGTTCAACAAAACAAAACAGGCAGCGGGGAGGAGTTGCTTGGCTTGGTTTCCTGGTACACCAGGTCCCAGCATGGCGCAGGTCCCAGTAAATGCCGGTGGCTCCCGTCTGGGCGGCTGTAGCCTGCCACACTCACAGCTGCTCACCAGGGTGTGAGGGGTTGCTTGGTCAGATCTTTTTACTTCCTTTCTACCAGATCTAAAACATAAGACCAATGCTTAATTCGTCATATATATGATCTCATTTACATAATACAGTGTACAGATATTAGTCCAGTGCTTTACAAATATTAACATGCTTAGTCTTCAAAACAATCCATAACAGCTATTATTCCCATTTTATAGAAGAAGAGGAGAAGAAGGAGGGGCAAATTGAAGTACACACTGAGTAAGCAACACTGCCAAAGTTACAAAAAATGTTTTTCTAAAGTCACAGAATTTGTAAGTGACAGATCATAAATTTGAAACTACACCCTTGAACTTGTACTCAGGTTTTTTCTGCGGAGGGTCAAATGCACTTTGGACTCTGAGGAATGCATGCAGCCTCTGTTGTCACCACTCACCTCTGCTGCCATTGTGCAAAAACTGCCACAGGCACTGTGTGAATGCTGGGTACGCTCATGTGCCAATAGAATTTTATTTATGGTCCCTGAAATTTGAATTTCATAGCAATTTCTTCATGAAGCAGAACTCCCTTTTTGACTTTTCCCCACCACCATTTAAAAATATAAAATCTATTCTTAGCTCACAGATCACAAAGTAGATGGGAAGCCAGATATGGCCTCTACTGCCTGCTGTGCTACCGCTCTCCCCTTGTTCTTACAACTCGCCCCCTCATTTCCATTTCCCAGCAACAGCACTGGACCTGAAGAAGCTAGCGATGTGCCCAAGACTCCCCTTGCCCAGCGGGCAGGCTAGGAGTCAGTGTCACTCCCAGGTCTCCCCAGTAGGGCCAGATGGGCAAGAAGCAGGCCTCGGTTTGGGGTACCCATGCTCTCTGATTGCGCCTGTGTCATAAATCTACTAGGAGTTCACAGGGCCTTCCTGCCCCACCCTTATCTCTAGAACTGAGTGCAGTAGCCTGGGGATTCTCTGCCTGGATCTGCCACTGTGGTCTCATTTACACATTCTCTTGGGTAATGTAAACAACAGAAATGTTCTGTCTTTCAAAGCTGGTGCCAGAACTCCTGCAAAACCCAGGGGCTGGCTTGGTGCTTGGCCTGATCTTATCAACCACAGTCATCAAGGAAGGGCAGTGTTACAGTTTATAACTAGTCCCACCAGAGCCTCATAAATTCATAGGTGAAAATTTGGGGAGGTGATTGGATCATGGGTGTGTGGGAGGTGCACGAAATCCACCTCCAAGCAGATTAGTCCACTAATGGGTTTATCGCTAAAAGTGGATTGGAAGGTAAAGCCTGGTTGGAGGAGGTGGGTCACTGGGGCCCTGAAGAATATAGTCCTTCCTTCTCCTTTCATCTCCCTTTGCTTTCTGCTTGCCATCCCAAGGGCTGTTTCTTCTCTGCCATGCTGCCCTGCCTTGGAGCCAGCCAACTATGGACTATACAAACCAAGAACGAAAATAAATCTTTTCAAGTTGTGGGATCAAGGCATTGTGTCTTAGTGACAAGAAAGTAACTAAGACAGATTTTGTTATCAGTCTTTGCTGTGACCATGTGGTTCTGAAGCCTTTGGAACTGGTTTGTGGGAGGAGTTTAGAAATGTTTGTAGATAATAATCTCAGAATAGGCCCTAGAATGCTGTAAGTTGAATTTGAGGGGAGATTCTAAGAGCTCAGAAGATTAGAATGTTGACAGCAATGCAACTGGCAAAGACAAGGCTCAAGAGTTGCACTGGGAAGAAGAACTCCGTTGGCATTTGGTCTCAAGATGACATGTGTTGTGCTCTAACAAAAAAATTGTCTACACTTTGTTTATGTCCTGAGGTTTTGAAGGAGACTGAGATTAAGGGTGGCAAACTAAGTAATGTGGCAAAGAAAATTTCAAGATAGCCTAATATTGAGGTTGTGGCATGGATATTGTTAGGGGCTTTTAGCCAGAACTATGTTGAAAATTAAGAGCAAATGGTACAATGAGTGATTTTTAAAGTTTTCAGTTTGGCCTGAAAGGGAGCACCCCAAAAGTTGGGACCTACAAAGATGCAGCAGAGGAGAGCTTGTTGCTAAAATGATTAGTGTTAGAAGCCAAGTACTTTAAAACAGGACAGTAGGAAGGATGCCTTGACAATATCTATGGAACCAGTAAGGCCCCACCCGGTGCAGGGTCAAAATTACAAAAGTATAAGACTTTTCTCTGAGAAGACAGTCCCAGGGTGCCATGCTCCATAATGAGAATTCCCTAGGGAATTTGTTCTTTTTGATTCAGTTTTTAGGTTCACTGAACTCAGCCATGTAAGTTATTGAAGACATCTGCAACCATGATACAAGAGAGCCTGGCTTCTGCTTGGGCCAGTGGTAGACCTTGGCATCATTCACATGGTACTGGTTCTACGTGGATGCAGAATTGCAAGTTGTGGGGTCAGGAAGTCTTCTATTCAAATTTCAACGAAGGCCTGGAAGGCCAGGAAGTGTATTCAGGACACCGTGTGAAGCTGTAAGAGTGAAACTGAAAGTGCACTGGAGGACCCAGCATGTTGGAAAACCAGGAAAGTGGAGTATTTGAAGAAAGTCACTAGGAGTGAGCACAGACAGCCCAAGAGAATAACCTTGAAGGCTACAACCACTAGCAGGGCTGTTAGGGAGGGTCAGAACCAGCCAAGCCTTTTGGAGTTCACATTTCATATAACTTTCCCTGGGTGATAAACTCAGAATTATAGGATTAATGTTTGCCCTGCTAGGTTGCTTTGTCCAGTTCCTTTTTTATCTCGTATCCTCCTTTTGGAATGGAAATGTGACCCTGTGCCTTTGTAGGCTAGAAATGTTTAACTGCCTTTTAATTTTTTACATACTCACTACTAAAATCTCAGAGGAAACTTTGGACTTGAACTTTTCAGCAGTTCTGCTGTAACTGTGAGGACTTTGAGAACTCTTAGATATAGATTAGAGGATACATTTTTCTTAAAGAGATGCTCATGAGTCTTTATGGGGCCAGGGACAGAATGTTTTTTTTTTTTTTTTTTTTGTATTCCCCAAAGTCTGATGCACTCATAGGTGTGGCTTTTGGGAGGTGATCGGATAATGGGTGCACGATACTCAATGACTAGTCTACTGATGGGTTTATAGTTAAATATCGTGTTGGAAGATCAACCATGGTGGGAGAAGGTGAGTCACTGGAGAGTAGCCTATAAGTATATATCTCTCTTCCTCTTGCTAATTCTTTGTTTTCTGCCTACCATGCCATGAGCTGTTTATTCTTTGGCATGACTTAGATCCGGCCAAATGTGAACTAAAATCTCTACAAACTGTGAGCCAAATAAAACTTTCCTCTTTAAAATGTGGGTGTCAGGTATTGTGTCTGAACAATGAGAAAGCGGTGGGGTGGGTTGACTTGATCTAAAAGGACCATGAGATCCTACTTGTGAAGCTTCAGCTCTGGCCTAGTTGGAGTGGAAGAAGAAGCAAGAACAAGCAGAAAAGCATGAGAGAAAGGGACGAAGAGACACAGAGAAACATGGAGAGATGCAGATTGCATATAGACACACACACATATAACACACATACACACACAAAGGATACACAGGGGGCCTGGAGCTGTAGCTCAGTGATAGAGCACTTGCTTAACATGCACAAAGTCCTGGGTTCAGTCTCTAGCACCAGAAATAAAATAAGAAAACACATTCAGGAAGAACTTCTTTAACAGTTGCTTTTCTGAACTAGGACCCTAATATCTTCTTCTTCAACTCTGACAACACAGAAAGGATAATAATGCACAGGAATCTCCCCATGTTACCTACTGACACTTATCTGCTCTAGGTTTCTACCGTCTTACTTTGAGCAGGCCCCTGAGGTGGGTAATGCAGAGGACATTTATCTGAGGAAGCATATGGGAGCCACAGAACTCCAACAATTTGCTCAAGATTGCACAGAAAGTTAATGGCCAATCTGGAACCAAGGATTAAGATGCCTGACCTGTGGGGTTTGTGGGGTAGCTCAAAGGTAGATTGAAACCTTGGGTTTGATCTCTATCACCAAAAAAAAAAAAATATATATATTGATTCCCAGTACAACGTGAGACTCCTATGAAACATGCCCAGGAACAAAGGGATACTATGGTGCCTGAATCACATGTAGGTTAAGTGACATTCCCAAAGTCACAGAAATTCATAAGTGACAATGCCAGTGTTAAAAGATACAATTCAACAGAAAGAGATAACAATTGTAAATATATACGTGCCAAATGCCAGCACACCCAATTTCATAAAACAAATACTACTGAAGTTAGGAAAACATTAATACAATCATAGCTGGGGACTTTAATACACTACTCCTACAAATAGGTGAGCCAGACCCCCCAAAATATCAACAAAGACATATTAGAATCGAAGCACACTATCAAACAAATGGACTTTACAGATATTTACAGTGTTTCATCCAACAACAACAGAATACACACTTTTTTCAGTCGCACACAGAACTTTCTCCACAATAGAACACATGTTAGGTCATTAAGCATATTTAACACATTCAGGACAGGATCATAATTTATATGTCTTGCTGCTGGGCAGCTTGAATGCTTGTGATACACACATGACTGTTCCATGGATGACTATACTACTTCTGTCATTAGTGGTACAAGCTGCTTGATGAGACAGTTATGCATGTACCACAGTGGTTCAAGCTAGCAGGAACATGTTAAATAAATACAAATTAATCGCAACAGTCTCCTGCATACTGTTGGATCATGGTGGAATGAAACTGGAAATCGACACCAAAAGAAACCACAGAACTATGTAAACACATGGAAATTAAATAATACTCTCTTGAATAATCAGTGAGACACACAAATCAAAGAAGAAATTGAAAGTTTCTAGAACAGAACAAGAATGGCAGCAGAACATACTAAAACCTGTGGAGCACAATGAAAGCAGTTCTAAACGGGGTGTTCATTGCTGCAAATGACCACATTGGAAAAATAGAGCCATCCCGAATAGGTAACCTAATGATGCGTCTCAAAATCCAAGCAAAACAAGAACAATCCAAATCAAAACTTGTAGAAGCGAAGAAATGATCAAAGCAAAGCT